ATCTTAAAACTCTTTCTTAAGACACTCATTTCCCTTGGCTTCTGCAATAAAATCTGCAAAAAAAAACCTCTCCACATTTTTCTTCTCTCACATTTCTTCTTAGACTCTACTACGAGTTGATCCACCTGTACCCAGATTCTAAATATATATTAGTGTTCCAAAGAGAAAGCCTAAGGATTTTCATTTCTCATACTATAGTCTCTTGCTTCATCATGGCCCCTACTACAATCTAAAAATAAGTAAATGACTTCCATATTGTCTCTAGTGCAGACCTCTCCTCTAAGTTCTAGGTCCCTACAACCAATTGCCTACTGACATTACCATATGATGACAAGAAAGCTTAAACTCAATAGATCCAAAACTGAATTCATGGTCTCCATGGATTCATTATTCAAAACTGGATTCACAATCTATGTTCAGCCAAACCCTAGTTCTTCTCAGTATTTTGTTGTTGTTAGTGAATGAATGGCACTATCATCCATCCAAGTTGCATGAGGCAGAAATCTAGAAATTATCCTTTATAAACTTTCCTCTTCCTCGCTCTCCAAATGCACTCTTCCAATTTTCACTTATGGATATTACTGTATAAATTTCTATTTTTTCTATGCTAATACCAAAATAACCTCCCTTGCTAGTTTCATTCCTCTACTGCCCATATTATTGCTATAATGTTAAGGTTTCTTTTTTTCTTTTTTTTTTTTAATTTTTTTTTATTTATTTATGATAGTCACAGAGAGAGAGAGAGAGAGGCAGAGACACAGGCAGAGGGAGAAGCAGGCTCCATGCACCGGGAGCCCGACGTGGGATTCGATCCCGGGTCTCCAGGATCGCGCCCCGGGCCAAAGGCAGGCGCCAAACCACTGCGCCACCCAGGGATCCCAATGTTAAGGTTTCTGTCACTTTTCCTGTTCATCCCTCTCTTACATCTCAACAATTTAATGTATTATACCTTCTAAATACTCTATTCTAGCCACAAAATCTACTTTATAATATCTGCATATGATTTATTCTTCGCCATGCCTCTTCCCTAGCCAAGCGATGCCTTTTTTTTTTTTTTTCCTCTCTCAAAACTCCTCTTGGGATGCTCCGCTCATTAATTCCATCCAATATCACTCCTTACTGGGGAAAAAAAAAGGGTTACACATTCAGAGCCATAGTTTATTTAACCCAATCATCTCTCTTTCACAGTGACACCTACAGAACATTTCACAGTTTTCCTCCCAGACATGGTACTCAAAATCTGCCATTATGCAAATACACCATTTCCTTCAACAATAAATGGAGTACCAGAGCTATGTATACATGTTTTATATCTTTTATGAACATATATATATAATCATCCTTTTCTATTTCATAAAGTTATGAATTTCACAACTCTAACACAAACCACATATAAACTTTCTTCATTTGTTCTGAAATCTCTCAAGTATCAAAGTGGTCCTCTCATTTCAGCAATTTCTGATTTGGTAGACAAATTGATAGTTTTCTCACCCATATCACTTGTGATTTTAAAGAATATAAAAATAAATATAGCATGAATCTCGTGTCCTTATACTCTGCTTAAAGGGCATGATCCAGCTGTATTCATATTTGTATCCCCAGTTTCCATAATAATTCTCACAAAGAAAGGGTGCTAAATACCCGTTTAATAGAATTAAAAGAATTTTGCTTAGGACTGATGCTGTAATGTTCATGAGTGCCAAAAGAAAGCAGAATTTCTCAAATGTGTGAGCTCTACTTTTTTTTTTTCAAGAAAAATTATATTTGGGCTAAAAAAGGGAAGTAGAAAAAATTGATTCCCAACTTAGGCGATAAGACGGTTACAGACCACCTAGCTGCTCTAAATGAAATGAAGCTCTTCATGAATGTGATCACTGAATTGCTGCCAGTGGAGGAAGCATGGAGACCTGGAGGGTTGCCAAAGACTGGAAACAAGCAAATAAATGTAGATCTGATTTTTTTTTTTAAAGAAAAAAAAAAGAGAAAAAGGAACAGAAGTGACAATAGTCCAGTATACTCGACATCAATCCTTTCCTAAATTCAGATTATTTATTTAAAAAATAGGCTCACTTAGAAAGGAAAATGGTAAGCATTTGTGGAACCAACTTAAATAACAAGACTAATCTAATTTCCTTTCTTTTTTTAAAGAATGTCTTTATAGAAAGATCATATATCAAAAAGCAGCAATAAGAATTATCAGATTTCGGGATTCCTGGGTGGCGCAGCGGTTTGGTGCCTGCCTTTGGCCCAGGGCGCAATCCTGGAGACCTGGGATCGAATCCCACGTCGGGCTCCCTGCATGGAGCCTGCTTCTCCCTCTGCCTGTGTCTCTGCCTCTCTCTCTCTCTCTCTCTCTCTCTCTCTCTCTCTCTCTCTGTGTGTGTGTGTGTGACTATCATGAATAAATAAATAAAATCTTTAAAAAAAAAAAAGAATTTTGAGATTTCAACAAAGTAGGATTTCAAAAAGGTATATGACCAGGCTCTCATTACACCATATGGATAAGATAAATATAAGATGGATAGCAGTACAATTAAGTGCTAGCTAATTATCTGAATGACCATAATAATGAGTGTTTCTTAATGAACTACCATCAACTTGAAGGTCAGTTCTACTCGCATGGTTCAGGACTATTATCTGTGGCCTTCTCCTATTCAACAATTTTATCAATAATTTGAATGAAGATGCAAAAGGTTACTATACTACTGCTGGCATCCAACATATGGCCGACATGAAACTAGGGGGCTCAAATACGTATTAAGAAAGAGCTGGGATCTGAGAAAACAACAATAAGCAGATAAATGGGCTTATTCTAATTAAGGTGAAATTTAATAGGGAAAAATATCTAAGGTATCAAACAGTGTCCAAAAAAAATACATACAGAACTGTGAGATGGGCAAGTCCCATGACTTAACTGCCACATATGTAAAACAAACAAAAAAGGGGCTTAATGGTTTTAATGGACAACAATCTTAGTTCAGTCTGACAGCAGCAAGCTCAATATGATATCAGAAAAGCTAATGTGATGCTAGATGCAGCAGCAGCAGTATCTCAAACAGGGAGGCAGCAGTCCTGCTGGATTCTGGACTGATCGGACCACAGCTGGGATGCTGTGTATCCTTCTAAGGGTCACAGTCTGCAAAGGATCATAATCGTATTGGCACATGTTCAGAATAGAACAACCAGGATGCTCAAGACTCTAGATACCATGCCACAAAAGGGGAGGCAGGAGATAACAGAAATTTATAAATAGAAGAAAACAATGCCTTGGGAGGAAAATGATGGCTACTTTCATTCAGTCACTCAATGAACATGAATTTCAAATCCATTTCAGGCCAGACACTGTGAGCACGTCTGGGAATACAGAGAGAAGACAGTCTATGTCCGTGGAAAATTCATATGCGTATCTGAAGAGCTGAAAAAGCCATGATCTTAAAAAGGATTAGACGGTTTTGTAAGATTTCGCAAGGTAGAAATAAGACCAGTGGAAAGAAGTTAGAAAGAAACTGATTTTAGCTCCATAGGAGAGTGTTTTAAGAATCAAAGATGTCTTTAGAAGCTGCCTGAGAAGACTGCAAGGTTCCCATCTGGAATGTTGTACTTAGTGGAGAGACTGCTGAAATAAGACAGGCACTGAACTGACCATCTTTATTGTTCCTTATATTCTATACTATGATTCTATACTTCCCCAAGAAATGGCCTCTCATCAGATTCATCATACTTGTGCACTTCAGCATCGCAGGTTTCCTACAGTTGCTACTTCCAACTTTGTACCCCGTCCCTCGCTGAAATAATGCTTTATGATGGGGAATGGATCTGAGAGCAATAGGAATGATGAACTACAGAAAGAAACTGACCCATCAGCACACAGAACACACACACACACACAAATCAATAATGTTCAATGTAAATAGAAAATGTAGGAATTCACTATCCTTTAAGTCATAAATTCAATTTAAAATATCTCACTAGGTTCAATTAACATAAACAAGGACTTGTCATGTACTGCATCTCCTGTTGGGAGCCATTTTTTTCTAACCAAGAAGGAAAAAACAATTTTAACTTAAGATCACTTTGAGAATCTGTGCCTTGAATAAACACTCCAAAAACCTTCATTATAAGTGTATGTGGAAACTAAGTTTATAACACATTTCTTTAAAAAATGATTTATTGGATATAGCAGACCTGATATCATGAACTAATCAAATTGTGGAATTCTGATCAAATGGCTACTCAAGTTTAATCCATTTGAAAAAAACACAGGATAAACATAGAGAAAAGGCCTCGACCATTTAGTTCTGGCTTTTAAAAATTGGCTTAATATTATCAAAGCTTCTTTTCATTCATTGTATTCTGTAACTTTAAAGCAGTCTCCTATATTGGCTCTATATGCTACAACTGTGCATTGAAGGAGTTCACCCTTCCAAACTGTTAACTTCTTGGAAGCTGTCCCTTACACTTTAGCGCTGTCTCAATTTGGATGCAATAAATGGGCCACAATTCGATTTCCAAGGGCTCTTTCTTTTAAAGAGCAGCCTGGGAAAGACAAAAGTGAGAAAGAGAGGGGAGCATCTTTAACCACCAACCCTGGGTGGAGAGAGAAAAGAAGAAAAAAAAAAAAAAAAAGGCTTCCCCTCTGGTTGTCAACTCTGACAGTGCTCTACCATTTCTCAACACATCGCCTGGCCATTTCAGATTAAAAAAAAAAAAAGAAAGAAAGAAAAAAGAAAGAAAGGAAAGTAAGAAAAGACAAAAAGAAAAAAGACAAAGATTCTAGTTTTCCTGGGACGGGGAGATCCCCTTTTGTAGAAGTGGCTAACGCTAGGCTCCCCCTGGGATTTCACCTCGTTGCCAAGGCAGCGCCAACCGAGGTGTCCGGCGGCGCCGGGGCAGCGCCCGCCCGGAGCCCCCGCGGCCCCGGGGTCCCAGCCGCGACCCGGGCCCGCCTCGCGAGCGCCCCGGGACGCCGGCGGAAGGCGGGGAGACGCGGCTCGACTTACAGTGACACCATCCTAGGTGACAGCACCAGTGCAGCTTGAAGCACTTGCCATGGCTGTGCGTGGCACAGATGGAAAGACCGTCGCACGGCTGGAAGTCGGGTCTGCGGGCAGCGCAACTCCGCGCCAGGGCCTGAGCCTCGTCCACTTTCTCGCTCTTCCAACCCCGCTCGGGCGCCGACGCCGACGCCGCACTCATTTCCGCTCCCTCCGCGGAGCCGAGGCCGGGAGCCCGGGAGAAGCGGCGTCTGGGCGGGCAGGAAGCCGAGCCGGCTGCGGACGTGGGAGGGCGCGGGCCGGGAGTCACGCCAGCGCGCGCGGCGGCGGTGCTGGTGGCGGCGGCGGGAGCGCGGAGGTCCCGGGCTCGCTGAGGAGCCGCCCCGGGCGCTGCGACCGGGGGCTGGGCCTGCCGCCGCCGCCGCCGCCGCCGCCGCCGCCGCCGCCGCCGCCGCCCCCGCCCCCTTTCCTCCCCCCTCCCTCCGCCGCGGCGCGCGCCGCGTCCCCACGCGCACGCGCACGCGCACACGCACACGCACGCGCCGACCAGCCCCGGGAGGCGCCGAGCGCCGGTCCGCGAGCCCGGCCTCCTCACAGGCTGCCGGCGTGCCCTCCTGTCACAGCGAGCCCCTGCCGCTCATTCACTCATTCCTCCGAGACCGACCCCGACGACGGACGGCCATGAGGAACGAACGCGCGGCTCGGCGGCGTGGTGTTCACACGCACAGCGGCTTACACGCGCACTTCCCGCCGAGGCGGGTCGTCTCGGGACCTCCACCGAGGGCTGTGCACACCGAGGACACGCCCACCCGGGCTGCTCGGTGGGCTGGGCCCTGCGCAGCTGCCCGCGAGGTTTTCTCACACACGCAGCCTGTCGCCCCACGCGGCTCACAGTTCCCTCGTACACACCTCCCAGGGTGGGCAGAGGCCGCTCCGAGGCGCGCGCACGCGCGTTCACGCTCGCGCGCACTCCCCGCAGGGCAAGCCTGCCGCTCCGGGCGGGCGAGGCCGCTCCGCGGGGCGCCGGGGACCCGAGCCGCCCGCCCGCCCGCCCGCCCGCCCGCCCGCCCCGAGCGCGCCCTCCCGCCGCGGTCTCTCTGGGGGCTGCAACCCCAACTGCAGAGCGGGAAAGCAACCCGGGTGTGCGTGTGCCTGAGAGAGAGAAGCGTCTACGGTGCACAGGACTGGTGTGTGGAATGTGTTGCACGGACGTGTAGGTTGGTGTGTATGTGGTACGTGGGTGGGGACGGTGGTTAGGTTGAGTAGGTGTGGTGGGTATGTGTGCAGCTGGACGTGTTAGGTGTGTACGTGCTACACGTGGAATGTGACCATTATGTGGTGCGCGATGTGGTGTAGTACATACAGGAGTATGTGGTGTGGATGTATACGACCGGCGTGGAGTGTGGGTGGCGTGGGGGGGGGGGGTAGAGTCTGTGTGGTTTGTGTAGTATGTGCAGTTGTGTATGTCTGTGTACGTGTGCACAGTGTATAAGTGGATGTGGTTACGTATGTATCGTGTATATACCTATAGTATGTGTTGCTGTGGTACCTGTGACCGCTATGTCGAGTGTGTGTGCGCAGCGTATATATGGGTAGGGGTGTGTGTGTGTGTGTGTGTGTGTGTGTGTGTGTGTGTGTGTGTGTGTGTGTGTGTGTGGTACGTGCGGGTGTGGGCACACAAACGGGACTCCTGTTTGCCATGGACTCTTTCTTGTATGTGCCTTTGTGTGTTAATGCCTGCCCGGCCAGCGGGTGTGACTGGTGGGGATGGTGGCTGCGCCTCTCAGCACAAATCTGCTTGCCTTCTTCCCTCCTGGGGACAAGTTGCTCCAAATAGATTTTCCATGCCAGGCTCAGCTGCTGAGAACCCACCCTGGGCCGGATTCAGTGAAGGGAAAACAAACCATTTGCGCCCAGGGAGCACGGTTGGGAATTAGTGTTTCCCTGCAACAAGGCCAGACCTAGCCTTGAACACAGAAAAGGAGGGGACCTACTCTCGTTATTTGCCAAACGTTTTTTTTCAGAGCAAAGGAAAATGCCTGTAATTGCCAAGGTTCAGGGAACAACAACAAAGCCTTTCAGTACAAATGCTGTGTGGGAACGTGTTTATGCCCAGGTCCACTTTCTCCAGTACTTTATTCCTTTCCTGCTTTGCTCTGACAAGGAGATTTTTGTCATGGTTTTTGAAATAACAAGATTCATCTTCAAGCACTGAAAACCCTTGCTGCCATAAGCAATCTTTCATGATTTTCTCTTTTATCTAACCTTGGCTTGAGAAGGGAAATGTAATTTGCATATATCTGACTCTAGTGAAGTCTTCATTTATTAGGGGTTAGGGAGAGACTCAATTTGGTGGGAAGGGAATTTTCAAGAAAGGTCTGAATCAAAAATCACAAAATACGGTTCCCCCAATAACCTAACACTGAAACAGTTATAAAAATGAAGCATAAAAAAAAAAAAAAACATGAAGTATCATCTCTTCAGCTTCAGCCCCAGGCGCCCCTCTCCTGAAAAAAAATCCTAATGAAATACATCCCTGACTCATAAAATCTATCTACTCTGGCTATTAATTTCACAGTCTGACCCACCTCAGAATAACATGAGTAAAAGGAAAATTTAATCAAATAAATCCATAATCCATTATGGCTGTAGCAAGCCAACCCAGAATGTTTTGAACAAAGGGGGATTCCTATCTCTTCTACCCTATGTTGTCTCTCCTTCACCAATCCATAAGCACTCTAATACTACCCATATTATATAAGGCCCTATATCAGAATCTTTACAGCATTTTGCTAATATTTCAACAACATCCTCCCCCTGCCTTTTACTCTAGGGTGAAACAGGTTGTAAGATTCTACTATGTATGAAACCATACTATCTCAGCTAGCGAAAAATGAGCGCGAGAAATAATGCAACATAGCACCTTCACCTGGAGGCAAGGTAAATTACCCAACTACCCTATACTTTATGATTGCCACATGATTTGCAGCTGAGAAGCCTTTACATTTTCTATAACACAAAATTCATTCCAGCCCCTTGCCCTAAAGATGCTATTAACCTCTACTGTCTGCAGTGGAGCCGGAGGAAATAAATGTCCTGTGACCTTTCAAATATATATACCTACAGCCTTCAGGATGTGTTGTCAGGATACAAGTTTTTTAAGTATTATTATGGAAAATGAAATATATACAAAAATAGAGATGCTAGTATAATGAACCTTCTCAAATCCATTAATGATTTAAAGCCCCACCCACTCCTGACCCCACCCTGCCACTAGATTATTTTGAAGCAAATCCCAGACATCAAATAATTTCATCCATACATATTTTTGTACTTATCTCTAAAACCATAACCCACAACATCACTATTACATAATAAAATACAATTTAATCATATACAGGAACTTGTCCATTGGTGCTGACCACCTCTCCACTTACCCTTGACGAAATTTAAGAATTTTCCTCTTTCCTTCTCTGTCTGCCTGCCTGCCTCTCCAGCTGATGTGCCACTTTCTCGAAGAAGCTTTCTCTGACCAACCTAGACTGTTAATACATTCTCCATTTATATAACTTTAAACAAATAATTAAAGAAGGAATTATTGAACTAATATCTTTTCCCATTCTTCCTCTCCCCTGACACAAACTGTAAGTAAGCTCCTTGAGGCCAGGAACATGGCCTCTGTCTTGTTCACCATCTTGTTCCCAGTTCTAAACACAGAACAAATAATTGTTGAAGTAGTGAAAATTATTCCATCTCAGACTTCCAAAGGTTGCAAAACGTCCATTGATAGTAAATTGTTTGCAAATATATGTGAATAATTTGTATAATTGCCCTGCCTTTAACCCTGGATTCTCCCCCACTGACTCTCAATTTAGCTATGGGTATTATCTACTGCTATGTAACGAGTCACTACTAAGTTAAAACAACTCAGTTTCTGTGGGTCAAGTATAACTTGGGTAGGTCCTCTGCTCAAAGGTTCTCACAAGACAGCAATGAAGGTATAGGGCAGGACTGCATTATTTTCATTTAGAGGTTCAACTGGGGTTGGGTCTGCTTCCAAGCTCACTCACTCACTGTTGGTAGCAGGATTCAGTTCCTCAAGGAACTGTTGGGCTGAGATATGTTCCTCATTGGTTACTGGCTAGAGGGCTGTCTCAGTTCCTTGACACGTGGACTTCTCAGTAGGGCAGTTCACACGTGGCAGCTTGCTTTACCGGAGCAAGCACATAGAGTCAAAGACAGTGTCATGGTCTTTTATAAACCCAATCTTAGAAGTGATATCCCATCACTTTTATAGAATTCTATTCATTAGAAGCAAGTCACGAGGTCCATTCCTCATTCAGGGGGAAGTGGTTACACAAAGACAAGAACACCAGGAGGCAAGAATTAGTGTAAACCATGTCACATAACTTGATTTAGCCGATGAGAGAATAGCATATGTGGCATCGCAAGGATTTCCAAAGAGCGTGCTCAGTGGAGTTCTTCTCTTTCAGTGCTTGAACCCTGAGAGCACCAGGCATACAAGCCTGATGGAGGATGAAACACCTTAAGGAGAAAGCTGAAGGTGCCCCACTTGATAAGCAGCCAATCTCCAGCCAATGGTCTACCAAACGTAAGAACTATCAGGGAGGCTATACTAGATCATCCTAGATGGACTAGCTAATCACGGAAGCATGAGAAAGTCCAGTAGAAATCTGCTGAGCCAGTCCTGACCCAAACAGCCATCAGGACACTCTAAAAAGAATCAAGAGCTACATAAAACAGTTGTAAACCTGCTGTTTGGGGCAGTTTCTTACAGAGTAAAAGCTAACTGATACACCACTGATCCTCTCTTGCTGTAGGCAAAGTAATTGAGGATTCAAGAGGCTAAGTGACTTGCTCATGTCACAGTGCAGCAGGCATAGTGGGAAAAGTTCTCTAGGACCTGGCATCAGAAAAATGCAGATGGTTCAAGTCTAAGCTCTGTTGTTTTCTGGCTGGGAGACCTTGGCAAATCCTTTATGCTTTCTGGGCTTCAGTTTCTTTAATCAGCAAAACAAAACAGAAGGTTTCTCAGAACATCTTTTTGCACTCAAAGCTATGACTTGTCCATTTGGTTATAGAAGGAGCTAGGGTTAAAATCCTTTCAGTTCAGATGTCATTTGTGAAAGTCAGATATTGCCTTCCTATTCTATGGTACATATTTGTCTAATGCTAATGTAAGTTTTATCTATGTACTCCAATCACTCTGAACACTTTGATAAATCAAGTCATTACAAATCAGTTACTTTTTGGTTGCTTGATTGAACCAAGCAACTAATTGCACCATGGTTATAAATAACCTGCTAGTAATTGGTCAATTTGTCATATTAAAGCAATTAGAATGATGAAGTAGTTGGAGAAGCTTCCAAATGAGGTGCAA